AGAGTATTTTTTTATATCTTATTTTAGATAAATTATCTCAACTCACCAAGTCAAAGAAATACCTATTTGAATGTGAAAAGTGTCAAAAGCATTTTACACACTTTCGGCATTTTAAATATCATAAAAAAATACATGAGGAAAAAAAAACTAAGGGCCTAAGATGCATTTTGTGTAAACAAGAATCTGATGCAGAGTGTTTTACCAAACCTGATTTGTTTAAACATTTTAAAATAAGGCACGATGTTGATATAATAACTGAACAGCTATACTTTACCAGTTTGGAAGAATTTAAGACGTGGAAAAAGGAAAAAGAAAAGCAATCGAATGAATTATTTGTAAAACCATATGGAACAGACAAAAATAAAAAATTCACTACAACAAAATATAAATGCCACCGGTCTGGATTTTACAAAAGCAAGGGAAAACATTTACGACATTTAAAAACACAAGGCTCAAAAAAAATTAATGGATACTGCCCTGCAGAAATGTCTGTTACAGAAATTGATGCAAGATTTGAAGTTGAATATGTTAGTACGCATGTAGGGCACACCAGTGATTTAGGTCATCTAACTTTAAATGAAACAGAGCGGAATAAATTGGCTGTCCAAATTGCAGCTAAAATTCCATTCGAAACAATTTTAGATGAGGTTAGAGAATCCATTAATGGTACTTTGGAAAGATGTCATCTTTTAACAAAGAAAGATTTATATAATATAGAAAGAAGTTTAAACCTCAATAAAGAAGCTCGTAGACACTGCAATGACGCAATCAGTGTAGATGCCTGGGTACAAGAAATTAGAAGTACTGGATGTGTTTTATTCTACAAAGCTCAGGGAGAATGTTGCACTGACTATCCTCTACTAAACAATAACGATTTTGCATTGGTAATTATGAATCAAGGTCAGCATGAAATGTTGGATAGATATGGCGATGATTGTATCTGTATTGATGAAACGTTTGGGTTTTAACCTTATCACAATAATGGTATTGGATGACATGCGTGAGGGATTTCCATGTGCTTTTCTAATTTCAAATCGAGCTGATGAACATATGATGCGAATATTTTTTATGTCTGTTAAAGAAAGCTTGGGTAGATCCTTAAAATCAAGTGTTCTTATGACAGATATGGCTCCAGTTTTTTATAATGCCTGGATTGAAGTTATGGATTTGCCTGTTCACAGACTCTATTGCACATGGCATGTGGATAGAGCTTGGCGTAACAATTTATGCAAAATATGTTCAAAAGAAAAGCAGGTATGTTAACCGTAGGAAAGGGTATACAAAATCTAACTTTTTTTTTAAATTATCATGAGTATTAAGCATCTTGTTCTTTTTTTCATGCACGTTGGCTCGTTTTAGTACTACTTGTCACTATTTTCTTTTATTTTAGGTGGCCGTGTATAAAAAACTGCGCACCTTACTTCAGGAAACAGATAAAAATGCGTTTTCGGCGATGATTAGTAACTTTTTAAATAATTTATTAGAAGATCCGGACACTACAAATTTTGGTCAATATTTCCATAAGTACTATGCAAAAAATGTTGATTCGTGGGCTTATTGTTACCGTATACATTCTGGTATTAACACCAATATGCATATAGAGAACATGCACCGTAGCATTAAATATATTTATTTAAATGGGAAAGTTAATAAACGACTAGATCAAGCTATATATATTTTGATGAAATTCGTTAGGGACAAATTATTTAATCGTTTAATAATTTTAAACAAGGGAAAAATTTCCACAAAATTGAAAGACATAAGAGCAAGACATAAAACTAGTAATGCATTAAATGTTGATGTAGTAGTAGTCAATGAAACTGGTTGGATGGTACCATCATCATCCACACAAGATCTGTACCAAGTTGAGAAAAGGCAAAAACATTGCAATTGCAAGTTAATCTGTTCCTACTTCATAAGTATTCGTGCTCATGCTTAGACTCTTCAATTAAATGGAACATGTGTAAACACATACACCTTATATGCAAATTTTTGAAAACTCAAAATGTTCATGCCAATGAAAACCAGGATGAAATTATCCAATCTGTAGGTAAGTCTACCTAATGGTCAAAATTTTAAATTTGTTGGTGGCTAGTAAGAATTGATGCTGCATTGTCATTTGTCATTCGTTAAACGAAAGCGCATTTTTGGATTTTACTGCTTAACGAAGTTACCTTTTTTTCTAGATGACATGCCTCATTTAACAATTGACGAAAACTTTAACCCCCAAGAAGAAAATACAATCATCCAGGCACTCTCCAAATCAAAGAGAAATGGAAATGAGAAGTTTATAAGTGAGAGAGAGAAATTTAAGTTTGAATTGTTAGAAACTGTCAACGGCCTGGAGTGTTCTGAAGAGTTAGACATAGCAAGAAAAGCATTAGCTCCTCTTATCCCTACTTTAACAGCATTCAGGAATTTAAAAAACAAAGAAGTTTGCAAAGAAAATCAAAATATACCCCATAATAAAAAAATTCCCCAACAACGGCGGCTGTTTAAGACAAAAAAGAAATGTATACCTAAAAAAGACAAGACAGCCAAACCAGATAGTGAAGAAGTTAATAAAATTGCATTAAACATGTTACAATTTTGAATTAAATATCTTTATTATGTATTTAGAAATATTGAAACAATTATGTACTACCTATGTATGAACTACTTTATATTATTTGAATATTAATGCAATAAATAGTTTTTGTCGCGTGCTGGTTGTCGTATGTATCTACTATTTACTAAAAGGTTTCTATTTAGAATTCATTCTTGTATGCAACAAAAAAGTCTTTAGAAACCTTTTTTCTTGCAGGTACCGTTGTAAATTGAAAAAATGGAAAAAATAGGTACAGTTTTTTTAGTGTAAGCTGATCCTGTACAGCCATAAGTGTAATTACCGAGCATTTAACAATATCGCCAAGTCGAGGCATTTTGTATTCTTCCAAATCGAGAATTCAATGTTGAACAAATCAAAATGACAAAATGTCATAATGTAACGTGAATCTAAACATTATTGAATAGTTTACTTGATATTACGGCTTATCCTATTTTTTTGTCCACGACAGTGCCTATCGGATCAATTTAATTACCTATCCATTTTGAAAACTGTGTAATCTTTTAGCTATGGCAATGCAAGTTCGTAGTTCAAATATCTGCGCGAAAAGTTAGCGCCTGCGCACAATGTGAAAGCCAAAGTGGAATCCTTGGCGCTAGCCGCCAGATGTCGACTGCTCTAGCGCAGTCAACGGTCGCGACCGCTCGCGCGCGGTTGACGGCACGATGGAATTTCGTCATGCAGTTGACGGCAGCGAATGAATGACTATAGTTCACCGCGCGGTCGCGGCTTTAAGCAGTCGGTCTCAACTGCTTGAAGCAGTCCGTGTACGGCCGCCCTTACTTAACAGTGCGCAGGGGTTTTGTTAATTCGATTCGAATTTAAAATTCTCGCACATCGCCCGTGATGGTATTACAAGCATGTTACGCCGCTTATTATTCAGAAAGTTTACGTTCCGTTTGAATAAGGGTTATTTATGGCTTTATAGGTTATACGGTTATTATTTCCAATATCTCCGATGGTTGCAAGGATTGCGAAATCTGATGTGAATTTTTTACATGAAGCGCGCTTTCTAAAGTACATAGCTGCTGCAAAAACTGTTTTTCCAAAACCATCTGGACGGTGTTGCCAGATAATGTAAAATAAGAAATACTTACGTGGAGATTCCGCTCATGTCCAAAAATTAGAATTCTTCCGGGAACTGGTGCATTGTCAGCTAGTAAAAAATCTTCCCGAATCCCGGGCTGTGTAAACTTTATATTCGTCCGGTATTATTAAATCCTCTACTATTTCGGGTGCAGGAGGGATGATCCATGGCTTGCGTGGGCAACTTCCGATAATTCTCCAATGCAAGCAAAATTGATAACTTGTGCCGTTGTTTCCATGACTTCTCCGGCCCTCTCTTTTATTCTAAAAACTGCTGCCTGGACTTCAACTTTTGCCGCCGAACTGTCATGAGAATGGTCATTGACTTTTTTAACGACACTACCGTCTCCTTCAACTTCAAGAGTCACTAAAAGTACATTGATATATGTGTATATACTATAACCTCGTTTTCTAATTACAACATGACGCCTCTCATACAGATAACATTGATCGATTAATATTGGGCCATTTAGATAAAATTAAGTAAGATTCTACTGACCATTTTGCTGCCATGATGGCATGTGATTAAAAAAACTTATTGACAAGAAAAGGTTGCAGTTAGAAATAGAAATTATGCGCAAAATCCAAAGGGAACTATATAATAACGATTATGATGTGTTTTGGCCAAGTTTTATTTTGTGTAATATTGTTTACTTTAAATTTAGATACTAGGAATTTATATGTTTGCATTGGTTTAAACAGTAAATTACAATATTTTTAACATAATCTTTCACTTATAAATGTGCCATTGCCATTCAACACCACCATCCTTAACCAATTAATTGGTAGCTATCCATCTTATAACGACTCAAAACGGGGTGAAATTGACTAAGTGGAAATTATAAAAGCACTAAACCTTCCCCATACTTCATTTAATTGTTTCAGATTTTAAATTCAGACATTATGTGACAGCACAGCGACTATAGTTTCGACCCTGAGGTCATTATCAAGCTGAAAATTTATATAATTTAAATAATTTGAAACAATGACTAAACCTTAAGTGACCTACCTTCAGTTTGAAGGAACATATAAAAGTAGTTGAAAATTACATATTAATTGGTAACATTTGGTTGATAATATGCTGTAAAACATGTGTTAGAAGCGAGTCTAGAAAATAGTTCTACTTACGGGAAAAATTACTTATTCGAACATGGAAACAATTACAATTACAATATTAACAAATTTAAGGCTTTTTGCCCTCACATTTTATAAACAATTGTTAAATTAAAATTGAACGAGATGGACGCAGCCATCTTGACAAGCAAAGTGACATGTGCTGACTAAATACGGCAGGTTAAGTAACTAAAGGGAAGGGGCAAAAGCGGGAAACTTGAACAATTTAAAAAATTAAAAGGAAATAGGGCCGGATTGGTTATGGGACGAAAAAAGAAGAAAAGGAGAAAAGAATGTAACATAGCTTACATTAGGCTATTGTTTTTATAAAATATTTAAATTAAATGGGCCAAAATACCCTGTTTCTACTGAAGGTAGTCGTTGGGACTCACGGACTGAATAAACGCCCAAAAAGTAACAACCCTGATCTGCTGAAGGCAGAAAAAGGGCAAAATAAACTTAAACTAAAAAGAAGGGATATCTGACAAGCGTAACGGGGTCGGAAACTACTTGGTGAGAAAAAGCAAATTTTTATTTAAGTGAAGTATTTCATTAAGGGAGTGTTGAGGATTCGTCCTATAGTGGAGGTAAATCTCTTTCATTTCAAGAAAGTCTAATTTAAGACTTTTGTTACAAACATGCAAAATTTTGAAGTCCTCTTTCGAAAACGAGTGGCCTGAACTAAGGATGTGGTGAGCGAAGGAAGAACTGGGATTGGGTTGAACGGAGCTTATATTGTTATTCTTAATAGCAGTGATGTGTTCAGAAAACCGAATTTTAAAGGAACGACCAGTTTGTCCAATGTAACAAGCTGGGCAATCCGAACAAACCAATTTATAAACACCAGACTTGGATAGAGGAGGTATTGGGTCTTTGGTTTTGACTAAGATAGAATTTAAGTTGTTCTTGACTGAGAAGGAAATAGAAACTTTGAGGGGACGGAAGAGACGGGCTATTATTTCTGATATGGGACCAATGTACGGTAAGGAGAAATATTTCGAAGGGGAATCAGGGGTCTGGGAGAGGGTGGTACGTCTGGATAGGAAGTCTTTAAACATCATCTTACGGTGTAAATTATTGATCAATTGGAACGGGTAGTTATTAGCACTAGCGATTTGAAAAATGATGTCTAGTTCTTTCAAGTAAAGAGGTTCGGAAAGGTCCAGGGAAAGGAGTCTGTGAAAGAAGAATCTGAAGGAAGCGAGTTTGTGTGAGAGAGGATGACTGGAGTGATAAGGTATAACATGGTCAGTGGTGGTAGGTTTTCGATAGATGTCGATTTCCACCCTCGAAGTGCCTCTAGTCAATGACAGGTCCAAGAAATTAATAGACTTATTAGACTCAATTTCTAGAGTAAATTTGATATTAGGGTGAAGTGAATTTAAAATTTCAAAACACTGATTAAGCTCAGACCTGTCACCCCCAAAGACAACAAGAATGTCATCAACGTATCTTTTGTAGAAACGGAAATGGGTTTTAATTTCATTAAATTGGAAAAGTGTGGATTCCAAGTGGTTCAGAAAAATTTCAGCTAACAAAGGGGATAGGTTGCTACCCATAGGTAAACCAGTAGTTTGATGATATTGTTTATTATTAAACGAGAAAAAGTTTTGTTCTGAACACAATTGGAGGGATCTAGAAAGGAAAGTGCAGGTAAGGTCTGGGAGTTTGGAGAGGGAAAGAAGTTCGTCAATAATCTTTAAACAATCGTTAAAGGGGATGCTAGGGAAGAGGTTCACAATGTCGAACGAAACAAGGATGTCGGACTCGGTGATCGGAAAATTCTTAAGCTCATTAACTAGGGTGAGGGAATTCTTGACTGAGTTGGGAAAATGGACTTCTAAGTTATTTCTAAGAATCTTGTTAAGCCAACTGGTGATCTTGGAAACTGGGGTGTTGGTAAATGATACAATGGGTCTCATAGGGTAGCCTGGTTTGTGTATTTTGGGGAGAGCGTATAATCTAGGAAGGGAAGGGTTCATATTTGTAAGACGGAGATAAGAAATGTGGAACTGATCTAAAAGAAGGGATTTATTTTCAAATAGGAATTTTCTGACTTTTTTCTGGAAAGCCTCGTTATTGACTTTAGATTGAGTGAAACCATCCTTGGATAGGAAGCTCTCAACACCCGTAACATAGTCCTTTTTATTCATGATAACCACCGCGTTACCTTTGTCAGCTTTAGTCACAATGAGGTTATGGTTTTTAATTTTAGTCTTTAGAGATTTGATGAGTTTGGGGGGCCCCCCCTTTTCGTTTCATGAACGAGTTCTAAATTTGTCTAATACACGTTTCAACCATGATGAAGAACACATTCTAAAGAAAGGTCTGAAATTTAACCCAGGTCACTGGGATAAATAAACATACGCTTGATAACTTCAAAATGGATTTAGAATGTGTCCTTCACAATCTAGATGATAAGATCGACCAAAGTCATTTTCGGGCTTTGTGTCATAATAAGCTAAAGAATTCCATTCAACCCCGTGGTAGTTTCAATCCCAAACTCATCAAATCTCTAAAGACTAAAATTAAAAACCATAACCTCATTGTGACTAAAGCTGACAAAGGTAACGCGGTGGTTATCATGAATAAAAAGGACTATGTTACGGGTGTTGAGAGCTTCCTATCCAAGGATGGTTTCACTCAATCTAAAGTCAATAACGAGGCTTTCCAGAAAAAAGTCAGAAAATTCCTATTTGAAAATAAATCCCTTCTTTTAGATCAGTTCCACATTTCTTATCTCCGTCTTACAAATATGAACCCTTCCCTTCCTAGATTATACGCTCTCCCCAAAATACACAAACCAGGCTACCCTATGAGACCCATTGTATCATTTACCAACACCCCAGTTTCCAAGATCACCAGTTGGCTTAACAAGATTCTTAGAAATAACTTAGAAGTCCATTTTCCCAACTCAGTCAAGAATTCCCTCACCCTAGTTAATGAGCTTAAGAATTTTCCGATCACCGAGTCCGACATCCTTGTTTCGTTCGACATTGTGAACCTCTTCC